TTTGTTTATGGTCCCATTTAAAAATTTCGGCCACCACTGTGTTCGTCTCATCGAGAAGCAGTAGCACATTCGAAAAAATCCGAGGTCAAGGTCAAGGTCATAGGTACGGGGACTAAAATTAACGTTTAAAGTGACCTTGACCTTGACCTATGACCTTGACCTCGGATTTTTTCGAATGTGCTACTGCTTCTCGATGAGACGAACACAGTGGTGGCCGAAATTTTTTAATCGGACCATAAACAAAGATTCTACAGGGTACGGGGACTAAAATTAACGTTTAAAGTGACCTTGACCTTGACCTATGACCTTGACCTCGGATTTTTTCGAATGTGCTACTGCGTCTCGATGAGACGAACACAGTGGTGGCCGAAATTTTTAAATCGGACCATAAACAAAGATTCTACAGGGTACGGGGACTAAAATTAAAGTTTAAAGTGACCTTGACCTTGACTTATGACCTTGACCTCTAATTTTTTCGAATGTGCTACTGCTTCTCGATGAGACGAACACAGTGGTGGCCGAAATTTTCAAATCGGACCATAAACAAAGATTCTACGGGGTACGGGGACTAAAATTAACGTTTAAAGTGACCTTGACCTTGATCTATGACCTTGACCTCGGATTTTTTCGAATGTGCTACTGCTTCTCGATGAGACGAACACAGTGATGGCAGAAATTTTCCGATAGCTCCAAAAATGAAGATTTTATAGGGTACGGGGACTAAAATTAACGTTTAAAGTGACCTTGACCTTGACCTATGACCTTGTCCTCGGATTTTTTCGAATGTGCTACTGCTTCTCGATGAGACGAACACAGTGGTGGCCGAAATTTTCCGATAGCTTCAAAAATGAAGATTTTATAGGGTACGGCGATTTTTAAAGTGACCTTGACCTTGACCTATGACCTTGACCTCGGATTTTTTTAAATGTGCTACTGCTTCTCGATGAGACGAACACACTGGTGGTCGAATTTTTCAAATCGGACCATAAACAAAGATTCTACAGGGTACGCAGTCTTTTGACCTCTCAAGGTCAAACGGTTTGACCTAGGAAAAAAAGGTGACCATTTTCGAACTCAGCGTGCCATGGGCTATCTGTATGCCAATTTTGAGCGAAATCATTACTCGAATTTGAATCCAAATTTTAACGTTTAAAGTGACCTTGACCTTGACCTATGACCTTGACCTCGGATTTTTTTCAAATGTGCTACTGCTTCTCGATGAGACGAACACAGTGGTGGCCGAAATTTTCAAATCGGACCATAAACAAAGATTCTACAGGGTACGGGGACTAAAATTAACGTTTAAAGTGACCTTGACCTTGACCTATGACCTTGACCTCGGATTTCTTCCAATGTGCTACTGCTTCTCGATGAGACGAACACAGTGGTGGCCGAAATTTTTAAATCGGACCATAAACAAAGATTCTACAGGGTACGGGGACTAAAATTAACGTTTAAAGTGACCTTGACCTTGACCTATGACCTTGACCTCGGATTTGTTCAAATGTGCTACTGCTTCTCGATGAGACGAACACAGTGGTGGCCGAAATTTTCAAATCGGACCATAAACAAAGATTCTACAGGGTACGGGGACTAAAATTAACGTTTAAAGTGACCTTGACCTTGACCTATGACCTTGACCTCGGATTTTTTCGAATGTGCTACTGCTTCTCGATGAGACGAACACAGTGGTGGCCGAAATTTTCAAATCGGACCATAAACAAAGATTCTACAGGGTACGGGGACTAAAATTAACGTTTAAAGTGACCTTGACCTTGACCTATGACCTTGACCTCGGATTTTTTCAAATGTGCTACTGCTTCTCGATGAGACGAACACAGTGGTGGCCGAAATTTTCAGATCGGACGATAAACAAAGATTCTACAGGGTACGGGGACTAAAATTAACGTTTAAAGTGACCTTGACCTTGACCTATGACCTTGACCTCGGATTTTTTCAAATGTGCTACTGCTTCTCGATGAGACGAACACAGTGGTGGCCGAAATTTTTAAATCGGACCATAAAAAAAGATTCTACAGGGTACGGGGACTAAAATTAACGTTTAAAGTGACCTTGACCTTGACCTATGACCTTGACCTCGAATTTTTTCATATGTGCTACTGCTTCACGATGAGACGAACACAGTGGTGGCCGAAATTTTCAGATCGGACGATAAACAAAGATTCTACAGGGTACGGGGACTAAAATTAACGTTTAAAGTGGCCTTGACCTTGACCTATGACCTTGACCTCGGATTTTTTCGAATGTGCTACTGCTTCTTGATGAGACGAACACAGTGGTGGCCGAAATTTTTAAATCGGACCATAAACAAAGATTCTACAAGGTACGGGGACTAAAATTAACGTTTAAAGTGACCTTGACCTTGACCTATGACCTTGACCTCGGATTTTTTCAAATGTGCTACTGCTTCTCGATGAGACGAACACAGTGGTGGCCGAAATTTTCAAATCGGACCATAAACAAAGATTCTACAGGGTACGGGGACTAAAATTAACGTTTAAAGTGACCTTGACCTTGACCTATGACCTTGACCTCGGATTTTTTCGAATGTGCTACTGCTTCTCGATGAGACGAACACAGTGGTGGCCGAAATTTTCAAATCGGACCATAAACAAAGATTCTACAGGGTACGGGGCTAAAATTAACGTTTAAAGTGACCTTGACCTTGACCTATGACCTTGACCTCGGATTTTTTCAAATTTGCTACTCCTTCTCGATGAGACGAACACAGTGGTGGCCGAATTTTTTAAATCGGACCATAAACAAAGATTCTACAGGGTACGGGGACTAAAATTAACGTTTAAAGTGACCTTGACCTTGACCTATGACCTTGACCTCGGATTTTTTCAAATGTGCTACTGCTTGTCGATGAGACGAACACAGTGGTGGCCGAAATTTTCAAATCGGACCATAAACAAAGATTCTACAGGGTACGGGGACTAAAATTAACGTTTAAAGTGACCTTGACCTTGACCTATGACCTTGACCTTGGATTTTTTCGAATGTGCTACTGCTTCTCGATGAGACGAACACAGTGGTGGCCGAAATTTTCAAATCGGACCATAAACAAAGATTCTATAGGGTACGGGGACTAAATTTAACGTTTAAAGTGACCTTGACCTTGACCTATGACCTTGACCTCGGATTTTTTCAAATGTGCTACTGCTTCTCGATGAGACGAACACAGTGGTGGCCGAAATTTTCAGATCGGGCGATAAACAAAGATTCTACAGGGTACGGGGACTAAAATTAACGTTTAAAGTGACCTTGACCTTGACCTATGACCTTGACCTCGGATTTTTTCAAATGTGCTACTGCTTCTCGATGAGACGAACACAGTGGTGGCCGAAATTTTTAAATCGGACCATAAACAAAGATTCTACAGGGTACGGGGACTAAAATTAACGTTTAAAGTGACCTTGACCTTGACCTATGACCTTGACCTCGGATTTTTTAGAATGTGCTACTGCTTCTCGATGAGACGAACACAGTGGTGGCCGAAATTTTCAAATCGGACCATAAACAAAGATTCTACAGGGTACGGGGACTAAAATTAACGTTTAAAGTGACCTTGACCTTGACCTATGACCTTGACCTCGGATTTTTTCGAATGTGCTACTGCTTCTCGATGAGACGAACACAGTGGTGGCCGAAATTTTCAAATCGGACCATAAACAAAGATTCTACAGGGTACGGGGACTAAAATTGACGTTTAAAGTGACCTTGACCTTGACCTATGACCTTGACCTCGGATTTTTTCAAATGTGCTACTGCTTCTCGATGAGACGAAAACAGTGGTGGCCGAAATTTTTAAATCGGACCATAAACAAAGATTCTACAGGGTACGGGGACTAAAATTAACGTTTAAAGTGACCTTGACCTTGACCTATGACCTTGACCTCGGATTTCTTCGAATGTGCTACTGCTTCTCGATGAGACGAACACAGTGGTGGCCGAAATTTTCCGATAGCTCCAAAAATGAAGATTTTATAGGGTACGGCGATTTTTAAAGTGACCTTGACCTTGACCTATGACCTTGACCTCGGATTTTTTTGAATGTGCTACTGCTTCTGGATGAGACCAACACACTGGTGGTCAAATTTTTCAAATCGGACCATAAACAAAGATTCTACAGGGTACGCAGTATTTTGACCTCTCAAGGTCAAACGGTTTGACCTAGGAAAAAAAGGTCACCATTTTCGAACTCAGCGTGCCATGGGCTATCTGTATGCCAATTTTGAGCGAAATCATTACTCGAATTTGAATCCGAATACGAATACGACGCTAACTTTATGGACATCGAGGCGGTGGCATGGTACCGCTACGGATATGGATGGTCCATGAGACGCGATAGACGGACGAGGTGCGAAGCTGCGATCACGCCGCCATGGAAAATATGGCATGACGTGCTTGACGTTAGTGCTTTTTATCCTCCGTAACAATACTGGCATTCTTGGCGTTTATAATAATCAATAAGGCTGTCACCCCTGCCCCTATGGTGGCGCCGCCACTGCGCCCTATTCATGGCTCGCGCCCCCTAAGGTACGTACATACGTACCTACGCTGATCTGCAAATGAGCAGAATTACAGTAATTCAGCTTTTTATCCATTACCACGGTATTCGCACTCTGTCCTCAATCGTAAACAAATAATAAAACAAAAATGTATTACAAAGCATGACTGTACAAATCAAGTCTCAACACGAACGCGACATGACATGCTCCCAGACCCGCGGAAACAAGCATATTGACTATCTGACACAATGACTATCGCAGCACCTCTGACTTCTGAGACATGTTGATTCATGAAAGACAATACCCGGTCCATACCATAGGCGCGGGAGCCGGGGGGGGCAGTGGGGGCAGCTTGCCCCCCCAACTCTAGGGCCGTGGGGGCGGTGCCCCCACAACTTTGAGACGAAATACCGTACTTTTTTGCAAATGTTTTTTCTTTTTTTGTTGAAAAAGCCAAGGGTTGAAAAATAAGTGGCCTAAAACCGGTGAGAAAACTAGATTTGGGGGTACCCTAGGTTGATCTCCATTATGGTGTGCCCCCCCAGTCTGAAAGTAGTTCCCGCGCCTATGGTCCATACACCGTTGACAACAAAGCACATTTACAAACAGCTTTACACATTTGGTCAAACATTTGATAATATTTTACACATTTCCAGCGAAAGACAAAGTAGCTCGACTCTACCTGAGTCGGTCCCGGGTACACATTTCACGAGCCTGTCCAGTGGCGTCTCTTTTGTCAAAGGTTCTGTTCAGACCTCGGTCCACTTGTTGGCACCTGTCTGAGCGCACCCGTCCATCTTCTCCGAGGTCAGCTGGTTCGACTCTCCTTCTGGGCTTCCTTTCTCTTCGTCTTCATCGATGATCTCGAATCCGTTCGAGCCCTCACGGTTCGTCGGAAGGTCATCTCAGGCTCAAAAGAAACGGTATATACCATTCGAAAGCCGACGGTGAGCTGAATCCAAAAATGTAATTTTTATCAAAATCGATCGATGGCCTTTTTTGAAAATTGCGTTTTTGTAAAAACTTAATAATCTTTTATTTAACGGGCTGTCCCGGACATTCTTGAAAACATAAACAGGTATTTTTTAGTTCCAGTGAAAGCTAAACGCCAAAAGAACAATATTTAGCGAAGCAATATTTCCAAACATTAATATGCGTCTCCCACAGCCGACAATAAGGCGCAATCACACAGCTCAGTGTCACGATAGACCAAAGTCAGCCACACAGAAGCGTGAATTGACCCTTATCGACTCGCAGACCGGGCGCTCTCGGCCCGCCTGACCGGTCACGGAAAGAACGTTCGGCTCTCGTTCTACTAAACAAATGTCATATTTGTCACTTTAACTGTCCACATCGCTATTAAAGTTATTCAGGATACCTGTGAAGAAAATTCGTTGTTCTGCTTGATTTACAACATGCTTTAATTTACATTTTTCTTATACATGTTTTGTTCCATCCAGCTGCGATCAGTGCCCGCGCAGGGGAAGTGAGCGGGGTTTCACTGTCAGAGGCTGTACTGGTGACAGCTGCTCGGCCGTGCGACCGGTCAAAGGTTACCCTACCCCGCCGGGCGCTACCCCCACTCCACCCGAGCTGAGGCCGGTGCAACCTCTGACATTTCAGCGCGGCCAATTTTCCTTATATGGGCATGATACCAAGCTCAACTGAGCAAAGTAGACATGAACAATTGCAAATTAATACATGATGTGAAGATGACAGAACAATGAATTTTCTTCACAGGTATCCTGAATAACTTTAATAGCGATGTGGACAGTTAAACTGACAAATATGACATTTGTTTAGTAGAACGAGAGCCGAACGTCCTTTCCGTGGCCGGTCAGGCGGGCCGAGAGCGCCCGGTCTGCGAGTCGATAAGGGTCATTTCACGCTTCTGTGTGGCTGACTTTGGTCCATCGTGACACTGAGCTGTGTGATTGCGCCTTATTGTCGGCTGTGGGAGACGCATATTAATGATTGGAAATATTGCTTCGCTAAATATTGTTCTTTTGGCGTTCAGCTTTCACTGGAACTCAAAAATACATGTTTATGTTTTCAAGAATGTCCGGGACAGCCCGTTGAATAAAAGATTATTAAGTTTTTACAAAAACGCAATTTTCAAAAAAGGCCATCGATCGATTTTGATAAAAATTACATTTTTGGATTCAGCTCACCGTCAGCTTTCGAATGGTATATATCGTTTCTTTTGAGCCTGAGATGACCTTCCGACGAACCGTGCCCTGCGCGGGTTTCTTCAGCCCCCAGTAGAGCACCAGGCCCCCGACCGGCAGAAAGGCCGCCGCCGAGCCGACCAGCATGGGCACGAAGGTGGGGAACCCGAACGGGGCCAGCGCCGCGGCGGAGCCGACCAGCGCGGCGCACCAGACGGCGTCGGCGGCCGCCCAGACCAGCAGCGGCCAGCGGCGGCCCAGCAGCAGGCCGACCAGCGCCGGCGGCGTGGCCACCGCCAGGCCAGCGCCCGCCGCCGCCTGCGCCACGTAGGAGGCCCACAGCGGCACCTCCAGCTGCTCGACCGTGTAGTCGAGGATGATGGTCGAGCGGCAGACAGTGGGCGAGGCGTCGACCACGTCCTCCCGGCCGAGGCGCCGCTTCTTGAACTGATTCTGGAGACAGTAGTGCTCCTCGGTGAGACCCGGGTCCGTGATGTGCCTCACTGCCAGCACCGCCCACACCACGGTGAAGAGCATGCTGACGTAGATAATGACGGCGACCACGAGCGGCGTCACGCGCGAGCACCAGCAGGCGACGCGATCGCGACGGAGCATCATCACACGCAATGAATGAACCATCGGTCCGGAAATAAAATCCCCACCACTGCTCACTAGCACTCGCAGTAGTCGGAACACGTCACCAATTCACCACACAGACAATCGCGGAATTATTTGCGCACCGCTCCTCACCCTCCGGCGCCTGGAGTGCAACTGACAAATATCATCAATCGTCGGCTGCGCATCTCCGACATGACGGAACTTGACATCAGTTGCGAGACGGCTCGTCAGCTCGCGGGTTCTTCGCGGGTAAAGTGCACATGCCCTTATTTGTCCGACGTCTGACGTGATTGAACGTGATCTAAGCCTTGATCTAAGGTGGTGAAATATGCGCAGCCAATCACAGTCGGTCGTGACGTGACGTCATGATCATGTTAACCAATCAGCGCTCTGTAATGTGGGACGATCGGTTCATTGATATTGTCTCGCTCAGGGGAGTGGCCGTCGCAAATAAGCACGTGACATCTCGCGTGCTAATGTCATGAGGAAGATCGGGCACGATGTCTTAAATGACATTATGACATGTTTGATCACGCCTTGTCGTGACATGTTTGATCGTACTGTTTTGTTTGTTATCTACATGTAGATCAAGTGCCCAGCCTCGATTATCGAATTTAATATAGGTACGATCCGTGATGCATTCAATTGACATGTACCTAGATATAAGGTTAGGAGTGATTAAAATTTTGAATTATAATCTGTTAATATTATTTCATCATTTAATATCATATCATATATTTAATTTATTTAATGACTGAATATCATATCATTTAATCATGAATCAGATAAACATTTAAAATATGATCAGTCAGGCTAGGGCTAGACGTAATCGTTTTGATATTTTATTATGCATGCTGCTAAATGCATTGCTTGGTTCAAGTCAGCATGCTATTAGTAATTAGAATGTCGCATGGCAGGCATTAATTATATACAGTGGCGGTCGCAGGGGGGGGGGGGCCATCAGGGCCATGGCCCCCCCCCCCCAAAGGCAAATCAGGGGGGGCCATCATATCATTTGGCCCCCCCAAACAACCGATGGGCCCCCATGGCCGTATGGGGCCCTGGCCCGTATTCGATTGTCACGAGGCTCGAGAAACCCACGCCAGCCATTAACCCGCGCCCTGCTGGGGGGGGGGGGGTGTTTGAACACCCCCCCTTGTGGTTTTTCGCGAATATCTCAAAAACGGCAGCGCGGAGCGCCGCCGTTTTTGGTACAACTTATCATACATCAATTCTACACATGTTGTGAAAATTTCAGACCAAGGTCATTCAAGGTCAGGTCACCAGGTCACTTGAAGTGACCTCACCTCATAAAAAGTTTCAATGTCTGTCATAGCTACACCGAGTGACCGATCGCTTTGAAACTTTCAGCGATTGCTAAGAGCAATAGCATGTACAAAATGTATATCTCAGAATTTTGATATCGATGACCTAAGGTCAGGTCAATTTTGCTACCTCCCCATTATAAGTCAATGGGAGAAAATTGAAATGCGCCTCTTTTGGACGAAAGACATTATAAACACTCCCAAACACCGAATTACAAGTGGTTTAGACACACTGAACATGAAAATGGTGTCCGTGACCCTTGTTTGTGCCCTGAGGTCATCTTAGGTCACGAATGGTATCTAACAGTTTTTCGCAAATAACTTTTGATAGAGGCATGCTAGAGCGATGAAAACGCCTTATATGTGTTCAGCTCGACGATACGGATCGACTGATATGCAACATGACCCTTTCCGGTCAGGTCATGACCTTGACCTGAGGTCAAATTTTCAAGCTGACCTTTCAAGGTCAAGTTATAGTTCATTCGATGCGTCTTGACGAGATGAACACGATGCCGGTAAAAGTAAGCTCGTACAAGGCTTGGGTCAAAAGTTATTGCAGAAAAACTGTTTCCGAAAAAATCGGCTATTTTTGCAGTTTTTGCCCCCTGCAGGCAAAACCGTTGACGTTAGGTCAAATCTGAGAGAATTACTCAGAAAGGGCGTTAATAGTGCTATCGAATGCACTTTTCCGCGGCGCTGTAGCTCTATTGGTTCCCGAGTTATGCGTTAGCTTCTTGGAAATTTTCGACATTCGACCTGGAAATCGGCGAAATTTTGCCTTCAATGACCTCTGGTGACCTGACCTTTGACCTGACCAAAAAATTGACCGAAGTGATTTCGTCATTATTTTTTACGCTCTTTCGAACGCCGCCTTCCGCGTATCGCTACGTGGCCCAGGAGCCGAGTTACAAGGGGGGGTGTTCAAACACCCCCCCCCCCCAGCAGGGCGTGGAAATCCAGGACCCCCAGCCGGGCGCGGGTTAACAGCTCCCATACCAGTCTTTGAGGGTCCTACACTGACCTCTGAGGGCCCTTCAGTGGCGGTCGAGCGCCCACATTGACCGCTGAGGACCCACATTGACCTCTGAGGGCCCTCCACTGGCCTTTGAGGGCCCCTAAACCGGCCTCAGGGGCCCAACCGGCCTCTGGTGGCCTCATTTCTGTCTCTCGAGTCCCAAGACTAACCTTTAAGTGTCTCTGAGGGCCCCGCACTGGATTCTGAAGACCCGATGTCGGCCTCTGAGAGCCCGCATCGGCCTCTGGGGCCCATCTTGGCCGTTGAGGGCCCTCCGCTGGTCTCTGGGGTCCAACGCCGGCCCATGCCGGCCTTTTAGGGCCCCACACTGGCCTCTAAGGGCCCCATGCTGGTCTGTAAGGACCCACATTAGCCTCTAAGGGCCCCCCGCACTGGATTCTGAAGACCCAATGCCGGCCGCTCAGGGCCCGCATCGGCGTCTGAGGGCCCATCTTGGCCTTTGAGGGCCCTCCGCTGGCCTCTGGGGTCCAACGCCGGCCCATACCGGTCTTTAAGGGCCCCACATTGACCTGAGGGCCCCATGCTGGCCTGTAAGGACACACATTAGCCTCTATGGGCCCCGCACTGGATTCTGAAGACCTGATGCCGGCCTCTAAGGGTTCGCATCGGACTCTGAGGGCCCATCTTGGCCTTTGAGGGCCCTCTGCTGGCCTCTGGGGTCCAACGCCGGCCCATGCCGGCCTTTTAGGGCCCCACACTGACCTCTAAGGGCCCCATGCTGGCCTGTAAAGGCCCACATTAGCCTCTGAGGGCCCCCCGCACTGGAATCTGAAGACCCGATGCCGGCCTCTAAGGGTCAGCATCGGCATCTGAGGGCCATATTGGCCTTTGAGGGCCTTCTGTTGGCCTCTGGAGTCCAACGCCGGCCCATGCCGATCTTTTAGGGCCCCACACTGACTTCTGAGGGCCCGTGCTGTCCTGTAAGGACCCACCTTAGCCTCTGAGGGCCCCGCACGGGCTTCTGAAGACCTGATGCCGGCCTCTAAGGGCCCGCATCGGCCTCTGAGGGCCCATCTTGGCCTTTGAGGGCCCTCTTCTGGCCTCTGGGGTCCAACGCCGGCCCATGTCGGTCTTTTATGGCCCCACGCTAACCTCTGAGGGCTCCATGCTGGCCTGTAAAGACCCACATTAGATTAGCCTCTGAGTGCCCAATTCGGTCTCTGATGGTCTCAAACTGCCCTTTGGAGGCCCTGTACTGGTCTCTGAGGGCCCTAAACTGGCCCCTAAGGGCCCAAACCAGCCTCTAAAGGTCCCACACCGGCCTCTGATGGTCCCATTTCTGTCTCTGGGACCCAAACTGACCCTTATGTGCCTCTGAGGGCCCCGTACTGGCTTCTGAAGGATCGATGCCGGTTTCTGAGGACCCATAACGGTCTTTAAGTGCCTCATACCGACACCTGAGGCCCCACACTAGCCTCTGAGGGGGCCCAAAACTGGCCTTTGAGGTCTCTACACCGGCCACTGATGGCCCCATTATGTTCTCTGGGGGCTCAAGCCTTACCTTTGGACGTCACGCACTTGCCTCTGAAGGCCCACATCAGCCTCTGGGGCCCTACCTGGGGCCTTTGAGGCCCTTCGCTGACCCTTGGATCCAACGCCGGCCTCTGGGGGTCTGACACCGTACTATAAGGGCCCCATTGCAGCCTCTAGGCGATAGGTATCGCTGAAGCGCTATCGATGGGCCGATAAGTGTAGGAACCATGGGTGCAGTGGGCGCAGTTGCACCAACAATAATTCTGCATAGGGTGCAGACAATGTATTCTGCATCCACAATAATCTGGAACAAACCCCCTTTTCTCAGCAACACTACTTTCCATGCAGCACGACAAATTTAGGATATTTTGCCCACTATCCATCTTTCGAAGCATTTGCTACTGTAATGGTCTTCAAAACTTACATTTGTGCTCAAGTACCTAAAAAACAAAAATGAAACCGAACACGTGTGATTGAACAGTGAACAGATACCGATGACCCACTGTCAAAAGTTTTAGCATGATGATCTCAGAAAATGGCAAAGTTAGCCGTCTTTATTTTTGCGGTAGTCCATTCACATTTGCGTGAGTTATTGGCATTATCAATGCTTTAAAATGCACTTATCGGTACCTTTTCGACATGGAACATCCTCAAAGCTCGCAATGAGCCTCCGCTCGGGTGCCGCTCCCTGCCCCCCCCCCCCCCCGCTTCACCGGCCATGGCCTGGATTTCTGCACCCGTGCACTACGCCCGTGGGCCCCTTTAAGCTAGCACCGGGCCCCCCGGGTCAGCGCAAGGGCCCCTTTGCCAAGCTGGGCCCCCCCCCAAACTCCAAGTCTGCGACCGCCCCTGATTATATAAAACAATCACTGTAAACTCATTTTGACAATGGGTTGTCGTACAACGACGAGCGTTTTGTCAAAAATACTAATAAAGGTTATGTCGAACGACGAATATCTTGTCATAGTTGGTTGAATCAACAGGGCAAATATTAGTATCAGCCCCAGCACCTAGTCGACCATTCATAAAATTGACGAGGATTATGGAGGCTATTGTGAAAACTACCAGGGTCTTATTCGTAATATGGAACATAGATTTGCTTATGATTTGTAATTTATATCCTTGTCGAAAGAACCAGCTACACCATTGCAACAATACTGATACATACTTATGTAATCTATGTCCTTGTCAAAGGTATCAGCTACACCTTTGCAACACGGACTTAGTTACGCTAGTTAGACGTGTTAGTAGTAACATATACAAAGCTGTTACTTGTTATATAGGTGGCGCCAAAAACGTTTCCGGCCGTTTCATTTTGAAAGTTTCAGTTGCGCACCAACCGCCGTGCAGTGATG